GGCTATGGATGTAGGTCTAAGCCACTGAATTTCTGATTCCACGTGATGAAGCATGACTCCCCAGCAGCTCGGGAGGCTGAGGCAGGAGGATCGCAAGGTGGAGGCCAGCCTCAGCATCAGCCTCAGCAACTTGACAAGGCCCTGAGCAGCTCAGGGAGGCCCTGTCTCTAAATAAAACACAGAACAGGGCTGGGGGTGGGGCTCAGGGGTTCGAGGGCCCCTGGGTTCAATCCCTGGGACCAAAAACAAGTCATTCATTAAAATCAGCACACGACAGGGACACAGCCACGTCAATGTTTATAGCAGCTCAGTTCACGATAGCTAAGCTATGGAACCAACCTAGGTGGCCTTCAACAGATGGATGGGTAAAGAAATGGTGATCCATATACACAGTGGAATATTACTCAGCCATCAAGAAGGATGAAATGATGGCATTTGCTGGTCAATGGATGGAGCTGGAGACGATCATGCTGAGTGAAATCAGCCAGTCCCCAAAAAACCAAAGGCTGAGTGTCCTCTCTGATATGGGGACGCTGACTCACAATAAGGGGGGGATGGCAGTTCACTGGATGAGACGCAGGGGAGTGGAGGGAAGGGAGGGGAGGGGACTGGGAGAGACAGGGGAATGAATGGGCGTCACTTTCCCATGTTCACAGAGGAACCCACGACCAGGGACACCCCACAGCAGGTCCAGCCACAGGAGTGGGACGTCACGCCCCGTGTAGATGGGACATGGCAGGATGCACTCTGCTGTCACGGGGAGCTAAGGAGAACAATTTTTAAAAAATTTAAAAAGAAAGTCATTCGTGATTGATATCGATCAATATTTTCCTGGTGCTGTTTGAAACGAAGGTCACTTTGCTGGCCACGCTGGGCTGAGGAAGTCCAGGTCACTTTTCTCCTGGTTTAATCCAGGGTGGCCCCCAAGGAAAGTGCCACAGAGTTTGGGCCCTCGGCCCCTGAGCCCCAGGCCCGGCCCTACTTTGGCTTTCATTTAGAGGCCAGGTCTCATTCAGTTGCGGAGGCTGGCCTCCAACTTTCGATCCTCCTGCCTCAGCCTCCTCAGCCAAGGATAACAAGGCGTGGGCCACCGCAGCCTGCTCTCCCAGGGTTCTGAACACAAGTGCCTGGATCCCTAACCCCAATGCACTTTGCTGTCCTCTTGCCCCCCTGGTGTCCAAGATGTCTAGACCTGTAGATGTCTGTCAAAGATGCGCTCAATGAACGTGTTGAAATGGGACCGAGAAGAACCCCAAAGGAGCCTGCCCAGCTGCTTGCTATGGGGCTCGGGGGACCCCAAGGACCCCGCTGGACACAGTCAAGGTGCCAGGGGTGGAGCTGGGGGGCACCGGGAGGACCTTGTACCCGTGGAGACCACCACAGGGCACTGCATGCAGAATGGCTGCCGCAAGTGACAAATCCATTGTGCTCTATAGTGACCCCAGAAGACGTCCCCCTCCCCCCAGGGTGTCCCAGGCCTATGTCACCAACAGGAAAATCCTGAAAACCACCTGGGTCACTCCCTGCCGTGGCCCAGCTGTGCAGGGGAGGGAGGCGGGGAGGCCGAAGTCGGAGCAAATAAAAGCAAGCAAAGCTGGAAAAGACCCGGAGATGGATCCTTCTTTGCCAGTGGAGGGGAATTGGGAACAAAAATACTAAAATAGAGACTTAGAAGGTGAACCTTTGGCTGAAGCCCCGAGGTGTGGCTCTCAGGGAGGGTGGGAGGCTGAGGCCAGAGGATCGAAAAGTTGGAGGCCAGCCTCAACCAAAGCGAGGCCTTGAGCCACTCAGCGAGACCCTGTCTCTAAATAAAATAGAAAAAGGGCTGGGGACAGGGGCTCAGGGGTTGAGCAGCCCCTGGGTTCCACCCCTGGGACCCCAAATAAAATAAAATAAAATCTTTGCTGTGACTGTAAACACTACCCACTTTCTGCCTCGTGATTCGATACCAAGCCTCAGGCCTCAAGCCTGTGTTTTGTTCCCTGCTGGGTGACAATGACGAACCCCAGGAAAGACCTCATTCTTTCTCCAGGTCCAGACCCGTCCAGGGAATCTGGTGTTTTCTAAAGATCGCGCCGATTTCAGGAAGCAGGCTGAGCCAGTTCACCTGGGACCGACTCCCTGGGGCTCTGAGACACCTAGCAACTCGTTTGACAGCGGAACCTTCCAGAAGGTGTTGATGGGAAGAGCCCAAGGAGCAGGCGGCAACTTGAACCCGAGTGAACGAGTGCCCACCCACAAAGGCAGATAGGCCTTAACCAGGGTTGGGACTTCTGATGTCCCAAGGACCTCGTGAGAAAGGGGAGGAGGACAAAAACGGGGTCCCTAGCGCAGTGTGGACCGTTAATGTCACCTTCTCTCCCTCTTTTCTCTCTTCCTCACTGAGAGGAGGTTTATTATGCAAGAAAAAGCCTCCATTGCACTAAGAATCCGGGAAAGGACTTGGGACAGGGAGAGGCTGAGGTCCAACCTATCCTTACCCCCATGTTTTTTTTTGGGGGGGGCGTAGATACTGAGGATTGAATTCAGGGCACCCCTCGACCCCTGAGCCCCCTCCCCAGCCCATTTTCTATTTTATTTAGAGACAGGGTCTCGCTGAGTGGCTCAGGGCCTTGCTTTGGCTGAGGCTGGCCTCCACCTTGCGATCCTCCTGCCTCAGCCTCCGCAGCGTCAGGGAGGATAGGCGTGGGGCACTTTGCCCTTCGGCTCTTCCTCATCCACCGCGGACTTCCAAGAGGTTGCCATCTCTGACTAGAGCAGGAGCCACACAGAAGCGAGAAGAAATTGGCCGGCCGACACAGCTTCCGCAGGGAGAATTAAAACCACCCACAGCCAAACCCATGCCTGGCCGGCTCTGTCACCAACCGCCCTCCCTTGGGGGTGGGGAGGAGGGCAGGCCTTCTTGAGTTGACTGATTTCAAACGAGGACACCCTCCAGGTCCCCCACCAGCAGAGCCCCCAAAGTCTGAGACTGGGCGTGGGTAAAAACTCTGACTTTCCATTCCTTCTCCTCTTTCTGTCTATTAACTGAATAACTCACAGGGTAATAATCTGCCAGAAATTAATACAGGAATGTTTCAATGCTACAACCAGAGTGGTGTCAGCGGGAGGATGATTTGTTGATGGATCTTTATTTATGTCTTTTTTTTTTAAAATTAGTTGTTGATTTGTGGATGGATCTTTACTTGTGTCTTTTTTTTTTTTTAATTAGTTGTTGATTTGTGGATGGATCTTTACTTGTGTCTTTTTTTTAAAATTAGTTGTTGATTTGTGGATGGATCTTTACTTGTGTCTTTTTTTTTATTAGTTGTTGATTTGTTGATGGACCTTTATTTATGTCTACGTGGTGCCCTGAGATTCGAACCCTAATTTGAATCTTAATGCCTGACCCCCCCTTTCCCCTCTCCCTCTCTCCCTCCAAAATGCCATGCACATAGAGATAGACCCTCCTGTCGAGGGAATTCTTGAAGAAGTAACTGATAGGAAAGTCGGGCCCGGTGGCCCAGGTCTATCATTCCAGCCAAAGATACTGTCTTCAAATAAAACATGAGAACTGGCGGTGTGTGTGTGTCGTGGGGGGATGGCTGGGGATATGGCTCAGTGGTTTAAGCGACCCAGGGTTCCATCCCCGGTTACCAAAAGCAAAAAAAAAAAAATCTCAACAACAACAACAAAAAAATCTTGGGAGGCTGAGGCAGGAGGATGGCAAGTTGAAGGCCAGCCTCTACCACTGAGCAAGACGCTGCCTCAAATTTTTAAATAAATAGGACTGGAGATGCGACTCTGGGGGAAGGTGCCCCTGGGTTCCATCCGGAGTCACCTAGGGACTTTAGCCGTCCCCATCTCGAGGTGTTGAATTGACAGCTACCTAGATACACCTTTATTGAAGGTCTATGGGGGTGGGGGGTGGGAAATGTCCAGCCGAGTCATTACTGAGACACAATAGAGGACGATCCCCGGTGGTCATCCTATGATCCCCCCCCCCAGGAGACAAGAGTCCTCTAGTGAAGGTCAACAGGGACAGGGCAAAGGAAATTTCACACTTGTCACTTGGCCAACTGTCTTGCACACTGTTCTCTTTTCCCCCAGATAACACAAACAGGCAGGGTTCCTGCCTCACCCAAGAGAAGCCAGACACTGGTTGGTGGCCTCCTGGTACCGGAGTCCCCAGGCGGGTCCTCGACAGCCAATGCACCAAGTAACCTAACAAAGCATCAAAGGAGAAACCCAGACCCCTTTCTTCTCAATTCTACCCGGATGTCACCTTCCGAAGTCCACATTGAACAGGAAAAGACAAGCCCCGCCCCCCCCCCAAAAGACACACACACATTGGGCCTAGGGTCGGGGCTCAGTGGTAGAGCTGCTCGCCTGGCCTGTGTGAGGCCCTGGGTTCGAATCTCAGGGCACCAGGTATCCATAAACAAAGGTCCATCAACAAATCAACAACTAATAAAAAAAAAAGACACAAATAAAGATCCATCAACAAATCAACAACTAATTTTTAAAAAATGACACAAATAAAGATCCATCAACAAATCAACAACTAATTTAAAGAAAAGACATAAATAAAGATCCATCAACAAATCAACAACTAATAAAAAAAGAAAGAAAAGACACACGCATCAGTGACATATATACAGGATGGTGGGTTTTTTTATGCATTTAGGAGGTTTTTAACTCTTGGGTTTGATGATGAACGAATTGCCTAGACCACAGGAAATCAACTCCAGCACCAAAATAAATAAATAAATCAAGTCATGTGGAATTTTTTTTTTCCTTTTTTTGCAAAGTGACATATGGTCGATGCCTAGTTGTCATCGCAGAAAGAGAACTCTGGCTTCTTAATTAAAATATATAAATAAAAATAAATGATAAAGCAGGAAATTTCAGCTTTGGTAACATGACTGTACCCAGTGTTCAAAGACGGTGTGGGAAATGGGGGTCAGAGAGACCGGCAGGAGAGGGGGGACACGGAGGAGGAGCAGGAGACGAAGACTCACCTGGGTGTCCCCGAGGGTTTCCAGTATCTGCAGAAGAGGTGCTGTCCGTCGGCGTTGACCAGGTGGGGAAGGTCCTGGTAGGGGATGCTCTTCGGGGTCCGCCTGGGAGAGGTCTCCTCGGGCATTCTGGAAGGGTCTTCAGGTCCTTGAAAGGAAAGGGGGCACATTCCCAAGTCAGAAATCTGGGGAGTGGGGGGGTGGGGTGGGAAAAGACTCTTAAGTAGAGGGGGGGGTCAACCCAGGTCCAAAGAGATTTTTTTTTAATTTTTTTTTTTTTCTAAATGACATCCATCTCTTGCAAATCTCTCTCCAACTGGGAGAAAGAAAAAAATGGGGAAAAAAATCTCATTTGTTCTTAAGAAAAATGCTCACTTTATTTTTTTTAAAGTGCCTCATTTTTAGGATTTTTCTCTCTCTCTCTCCTTTATCCATCTGTGTTTGTTTCCAATCATTCCACGAAACTTCATCTTAAAGACTATTTTAGCTGTAATCAAGGCAGCTCTGTGGATGTGGGGACCCAGCTGCAAGGAGACCCATCTCTCTCTCTCTCTCTCTCTCTCTCTCTCTCTCTCTCTCTCTCTCTCTCTCTCTCTCTCTCTCTCTCTCCAAAAAAAGAGAGAAAATCTCCAAGGAACAGTTTGAGTCCCCTCTGGAGTGCATGCTCCTGGCTGATTGCTGCCACCAGAGATGCCACACAGACACCATCACCAACCTGGTTCCATTCCGCCCTGGCTCCTGCGTTCCACCAGGGGACACCGCCTGCAGGATCACAGCCAGGCCACCCGGGGCTGCTCCCCGATGATCGCGGTGGCGAGCCCGGGTCCCTCCATCCCGCGCCTTGCGCTCCCCCCCCACCACCCAGATCCGGATCTTGGGGGCTGGCGGGGTGCAGAGCCGGGAAGCCAGCTCGCAGCTGTGTCCCCCAACAGGCTCCCGGGTCCCCTCCCTCCCCGGGGCGGGGACCAGGCGCCTGCGGTCTCCCCCCAACTACTTGTCCCCTGTCATCACTTTTTCCTACACAATCCGCTCCGATGGGGCTGGGCGCGGGGAGGAGCGCGGCCCTGGGTGGCCCAGGGGGGGGAGGGGGTCAAGTCGCCCTGCGTGTCCCCTGGGGGGGGGGCGCCCCGCAAAGTCCCCCCCAACCCCCGAGGAGGCGGGTTCCCAGGACCCAGTCGTCGCCCCCTGAGGCTTCGGACAAACTTTGCCTCCTGCCAGGTCACCCACAGCACGGGGTCGCAGCTGTCATTTGGAAGTGCCACCCGGGTGTGGGGGGGGGCAGGGAAAAAAACCCGGGGACTTCACCCCGAGTCGCGTTGGTGCCACCAGGGGCTGCAAAGAGACCGCGGCGGATGGGGACAAGTTGGTGACAGGGGGGGGCTGGTGCCAGGGAGTCCGAGGGGGGGCGCGCGCGCGCGTGCACACGCGCACGATCGTGCACACGCGCCCAGGAGCGCGCGGGAGGCCACACGCCGAGCGCGCCAGGGACCCCCCGCCCCCCGACCCCCTGGTGGCGGCGCTCGCGGGTGGGGCGGGGACAGGGAGGCAGGTTACCGGGGCCACGAGCGGCGCTGTCACCTCCCGAGCGCCGCGGGTCTCAGCGGGCGGCGGGACCAGGGCCGGGCGAGCTGCGCGCGCGGCCACCTCCGCGGCGACAGGGCGACAGGGCGCGGCGTCTGCGCCGCCACTTTATCCCCGGGGCCGCTCGGCGACGGGGGCGGCCGCGGTGGGTGGGGACGCGGGGAGGCGGCGCCCGGGCCCACGTGTGTGAGCCCGGCCCCGCGGGGAGGAGCGGGGGCGCCGCCCGCCCGGGACCCGCCGTGCGCTCCTCCCCGCCCCGGGCTCGCAGGCGGCCGCGCCCGGGGACAAGTCCGGGCCACCCCTAGCCACACCCACCCCGCCCCTGCGCGGGAGGGCGCCGATCTGTCCCTGCAGACCGCAGGCCACACCGGGCGCGGCACGCGCAGGGTGCACACAGGCCCCAGGTGCGCGCACACGGCACACACGCACGCACGGCGCCCGTGCCCACGGGGACCCACTCCGCACAAGGGCACCGTGTGCACACGCGCGCACACACCCAAACGTGCAATCCAGCAGACTCGCGTGCACACACAGGCACGCTGAGATGACCCATGACCTATGCAGGGACACACCAATGCGCCTGGACACTCACAGAAGGTCACAGCACCGGGCCGTGGCGCACGCCTGGCATCCCAGCGGCTGGGGAGGCTGAGGCAGGAGGATCGCAAGGTGGAGGCCAGCCTCAGCCACTTAGCAAGGCCCTAAGCAACTCAGTGAGACCCTGTCTCTGAATAAAATAGAAAAGGGGCTGGGGACAGGGCTCAGGGGTTGAGCACCCCTGGATTTGATCCCTGGGACCAATTTTTTTTTAATTTGTTGAAGAGGAAGTGAGTTTTAATAAAGAATGAGTTAAGAAGGAGCAACAGGAGGAAATGGGTGAAAATTTGGTGGTTAGAAACTTTCACTAAGGGCCGGGCATGGTGGAGGATGCCTGTCACCCCAGCAGAGGGAGGCTGAGGCAGGAGGATCATGAGTTCAAAGATGGCCTCACCAAGTTAGCAAGGCCCTGAGCAACTCAGGGAAACCCTGTCTCTGAATAAAATACAGAATAGGCCTGGGGACGGGGCTCAGGGGTCGAGGGCCCCTGGGTTCAATCCCTGTTACCAAAAGCACATCACACACGCATACACACGTTCCTGTCACACACACACAGAGACACACGTGCTGTAAAGCTGTGGGGTCCCCGCAAGTCCCCAGGGCACAAGGCAGAGGCAGGTTGAAGCATGTCTACAGACATCTGGTCCCGGTCTCTCAATAAAATAGGGCTGGGGACAGGGCTCAGTGGTTGGGGAGGGGAGTCCCTGAGTTCAATCCTTGGTACCAAAAAAATAAATAAATAAATAAATGGAGACTGAGGCAGGGGAATTACCTCAGCCCAAGACCCTCATCTCTGAGAGAGACAGAGAGAGAGAGAGAGAGAGAGAGAGAGAGAGAGAGACAGAGAGAGACAGAGAGAAAGAGAGAGACAGAGAGAGAGAGAGAGAGAGACAGAGAGGAGGGAGTTTTTTTTTTTTTTTTTTTTTTTTTAGAGACTGGGTCTCTCTAGGTTGCTTACAGCCTTGCTCAATTGCTGAGGCTGGCCTCCAACTTAAGATCCTCCTGCCTCATCCTCCTGAGCTGCTGGGGTGACAGACGTGTGCCACCACCGGCCCCTGGCTGAACTTTTATTTTGAGATGATGGTAGATGCACATGCAGTTCTAAGAAATAATACCGAAAGACGTCATATACCCTTTAGCCAGTTTCCCACAATGGTCACTTCTTACAAAACTACAGTACAGGGCTGGGGATGTGGCTCAAGCGGTAGAGCACTTGCCTGGTGTGTGCAGGGCGCTGGGTTCCATCCTCAGCACCACATAAAAATAAAATAAAGATATTGTGTTCACCTAAAACTAAAAAATAAATATTAAAAAAAAAACTACAGTACAATCTCATGACCAGGTTATTGACGTTGATACAGTCAAGAAACAGAATCTATTTCCATCATTGCAAAAATCACGCAGGGTACACTTTCAGGGTCACATCTATTTCCCAGGCATCCCAACGTCCCCTATAAACACTGGAAAACACGAATTGTTCTCCAATTTCCAAAAATCCTGTCTAGAATGTTTTGTGTGTGGAATCATATAATATATATATATATATATATGTATATGTATATAATCCTTTAATAGACCAGGACTGCAATTGATGGATGGGGTAGAAATGGCATGTTTTGTGTTTTAAAAGATATAGCCGGGTGCCGTGTTGCACGCCTGTCATCCCGGCAGCCTGGGAGGCTGAGGCAGGAGGATCCCAAGTTCGAGGCCAGCCTCAGCAACTTAGAGAGACTCTAAACAACAGATGGAGACCCTGCCGCAAAAACCAACAAAACCAAACAAACAAAAAAACCATACAAACAAATGGGTTTTGGAAGTTTTTGCCATTAAAAAAAAAAAGAATGTAGTAGAGGTTCCAAGAACTAGATATGTTTAACCCAATTCAAACGTGTACTGAAACACCCCTGGGGGACCTCATTCATGTGCAAAACTGACACCTTATTATTTATCGAACCTCATTAATATGTAAAACTGTCACCTTATGTGTCAGTTAAAATAAGTTTAAATGAAGATTTAAATCTATTCTGCTGATGTCTGATTTTTTTTAGACCATTTACATTTAATGTAATTATGGTTATGGTAGGGCTTAAGTCTACCATTGTATTTTATTTATTTATATTTTGGTCATTTTGTCTTGTTTTCTGTTCTCTCTTTATTTTTCTAGTCTTCTTGTGGGCTACCGGAGCAGGATGGCTGCTTAGCTGTGCTGTGTTGGAGTGTGTCTCTCTGTAGAGATTGCTTAGCCACGTCCCCTTGTATTGCACTTGATATAATCCCAGCTTACTGATGACCTTTTCCCAGTCCTAGTGAAACAGAAACCTGACATCCCTTCATGTGTCCTTACTGTCATAACCATGTCCGGCACATACACTGAGAACCTCATCAGATAATGTCATCGTTTTTGTTTCAAACATCATTTAGAAAAGAGGAGGGAGGGGGACGCTTATTTTATCGGCCCTGTTTTTGCTCACTGTCTTATTTCTTCCTGCATAGTATTCCACGATTCCTTTTTCTACCCTTTGAGTTCTATTTAGAAAAATCATCTTAGCCATTCTTTGAGAACCGTCTCCCTTCCCCTGAGAACGTATCGATTCTTCTTCATTCTTGAAGGATATATCCACTAGATACAGGATTCTAGGTTAACAGTAAGTTGTTTTTTCTTTTTTTTTTAAGTTGAAAAATGCAGGTGTGGTGGTGCACGCCTGTCATCCAAGCCGCTCAGGAGGCTGAGGCAGGAGGATCACCAGTTGGAGGCCAGCCTCAGCCACTTAGTGAGTCCCCCTAGGCAACTTAGCGAGACCCTGTCTCTAAAATAAAATATAAAAAGGGGCTGGGGATGGGGCTCCATGGTTAAGTGCCCCTGGATTCAATCCCTGCTACTAAAATAAATTAAAAAAAAAACTTTGAAAAATATTGTGCCCCTTATTCTGGCCTTGACGGTATCCAACCCACGGCCATTTGAACATATTTTCTTTTATGGGTGACGTGTTCTTTCTCTCTTGTGGCTTATAAGATGTTTTCTTTACCTTTCATGTTCAGAACTTTTCCTATGATGGGTCTTGGTATGGATTTCTTTGCTTCTATTCTTTTTTTAGGATTTTTTTTTCTGGTTCTTCAATCTGAACAATTCAAGGCTTCCATCTCCTGCCAAATTTGGGGACATTTCTAGTTTTATTTAAGTACATCTCAGCCCCACACTTTTTTCTCTTCTGCTTTTGGGACAATGAGGACATGAAGGTGACAGCTTGTCTTACGAGACCCCGAGGCTTAGATTTCTTCCCATTTTTTTTCTTCATCTATTTTCTCTGTCATTCAGATTGCACATTATTTTTTTTTAATTTTTGTTTTTGGTTTCATGTTCCAGTTCACTGATTCTCTCCTCTGTCCCCCCTCCCCGACATTCTACTTCTGAGTCCATCCATTGTTTGTTCCATTTCAATGATTGTATTTTCCAGCTCGAGGATGGCCATTTGGTTCTTGGGTCTTGGATTCCTCTGCTGAGACTTTCTGTTTTTGATGGGGTTTTCAGCCTGCTCCTAATTGTTCCTTGAAACATTTTTTTTTTGAATCATGCCTGCTTCAAAATCTGAGTTCTTCTCAAAAAACTTAACACACACACACACAAAATAACCCAATCAATCAATCAAAAAAAATAACCCAATCAATAAGTGGGCAAAGAACTGAACAGACGCTTCACAGAGGAGAAATGATCCATCAACAAATATGTGAGAAGATGATCA